AGAGATTCCCCTCACCCCAGGTGGTATAAGGTCATTCTACAATCCCTTTCCTCCATTTTTATCCCATCAGGATTTGGGGCACACACATGCACCCAATGTATTTTTCGGAGAGGTTTTTTTTTTTTTTTTGAGAGGTTTTCGCTATAGGGCGCGTGCGCTCGCCAGACAGAGAGACAGAAAGCGAGAAATCACCCCCTAGGGAGGATGGCCACGCCACAATCCCTTCTCCTCCATTCTCCTCTCGGGATCTTGGGCACGCACGCACACACGCCTGGCGTGAGTTTTAAGCCACCGGGTCTGGGACGCGAACCGCGGTCGACGACGTGGGAGTCCAGCGACATAGCCATTACGCTAACTGCTGGTCCCCCAATGTATTTTTCGGAGAGGTTTTTTTTTTTTTTTGCTTTAGGGCGCGTGCGCTCGCCAGACAGAGAGACAGAAAGCGAGAAATCACCCCCTAGGGAGGATGGCCACGCCACAATCCCTTCTCCTCCATTCTCCTCTCGGGATCTTGGGCACGCACGCACACACGCCTGGCGTGAGTTTTAAGCCACCGGGTCTGGGACGCGAACCGCGGTCGACGACGTGGGAGTCCAGCGACATAGCCATTACGCTAACTGCTGGTCCCCCAATGTATTTTTCAAGTCACTGGGGCTGGATCTGAATCTCGGTCAGCCATGTGGAATCCATCTTCCCATGTGCAGAGCTTAGCCACTGTAGTATGAGGCCAGCCTAGATTGTCTTTTCCTTTTTAAAGTTCTAGAAATATTCTAGATGCTTGACTTTTGTCAGTTATGTGTACAGACAATATTATCTACTGCTCTTATTTAGTGTAGCTTACCTTTAACTTTGCTTATGAAATCCTGTAATAGGAACAATTTAAATTACAGTATATATATTTTTTCTCTTTTGCTTATACAATCTTCTTTCATCTACCTTTTAAAGTTGAAAATTTTATTTTCCACATTTAGGAATTTAATTTATCCAGAATCTATTTCTGTGCTCGAAGTGAACACACAATCTAATTTTACTTTCTCCCCATTGGTAAACTATTAAGCCAGCCCCATTTGTCTACAGTCTTTCTGTTCCCCATGAACTTCTTGAGGTACAGACTAAGAGAGAGAGAGAGACAGAAAGCAAGTGGCCAGGTCTGGGATTCGAACCACAGTTGGCCATGTGGGAGTCCAGTGCCCTTAATCACCACGCCACCTGCCGTGCCCCCGCCCCCATGAATTTCTAATGGTGCCTCTGCAATATGTCAAGTGACCACAACATACAGGTGTGCAGTAAAGCTTTGTATTCAACTCCACTGGTTTGTCTATCATTATATAATCCTGTGCAGATCCTGCACTACAGCTGTAAGTCAGCTGGAATCTGGTAGGCTCTTCTATTCCTATGTTGTTTGTCTTCAAAGTTGTATTGGCTATTCTGACCCTCTTTTATTTCCTTATGATTTATTTTTTTAAAGAATTATTTTAAGTTTATTTATTTAATTTGACCAGAGAGGGAGTGAGTGTGTGTTTGTGTGTGTGTGTGTGTGTGTGTGTGTGGACTTGAACCATGGTCAGTCATGTGGGAGTCCAGTGCCTTTAACCACCAGGCCACCTACCAGCCCTTACCCTGTGATTTCGATATCAAATTTTCAGATCTCATGAAATCCTTATTGAAGCTTTAGATTCGAATTACATTGAATTTATAGATGAAACTGAGAAGAAGGGAGTTCTTATTATGCATTTCTTGTATCAAGTAATGTAATTTCATTTTATGTCTATTAATAATGTTATGTATTTTATTGTGTTTTTCCCTCTCTTGCTTTTTAGGTTGAATGCTTAGGTTGAATGCTTAAATTGTTTGTTTATTTTTACTGTTTGTGTCCATTTTCATGGAAGGGAAGGGGATAGAAAGAGAGAAAAATAGATCTTTTAGACAGGGTCCTACCATGTTGCAATCCTTCTACTGCAGTTTCCAAACAAGCCAGGAGAGCCAAGGTGTGCACAATCCACCCCATAATGGTCAGCCTGTGAGAACTGAATCTGTGACCTGTCATGTGGCTTTCATCCTCCCAAGTAGTGATGCAACCTATGTGCCACTGCTGCTTGGCCAATTTTTTACTGTTTCTTAATAAATACATTAGGGTTATAGATTTCCTTGTTGGTACTACTTTAATTGTGTACCAAAAATTGTGTGTATATAATTTGATTTTATTCAGTTGCTTACATTTTGTAATCCATGTTTTATTTATTTAACCTGCAGTCCCTTAGGACTACAGTTTTTACATTTCCAAGTATTTTTTCATTTTTCTTTTTAGTGCATATTTCTAGTTAAACTATATTTTCATCAAAGGACACTTTTAAGATACTGATCCCTTAAAATGTAGCAATACTTCTTTTCATGGTCTACTTCATAATCATTTTTTTCTTCTTTATTTTCTTATATTTTTATGTTCAACCACTGCACATCTTTTTTATTATTATTTTAGAATTATGTTATCTCTGAGATCTTTTTTTTTTTTGAGAGGTTTTTGCTATAGGGGGCATGCACTCACCCGAAAGACAGAGACAGAGACAGGAAGTGAGAAATCCCCCCCCAGGGGGGATGGCCATACCACAGTCCCTTCTCCTCCATTCTTTTGGGATCTTGGGCACGCACACACATGTGCCTGGCATGAGTTTAAGCCACCGGGTCTGGGACTCAAACCACGGTCAACTACATGGGAGTCCAGCAACATAGCCATTACGCCAACTGCCGGTCCCCAACCATTGTACATCTTTACAGCATACAAGATATTGCGTTGTCAGGAAAGTCATGATGCATTTTTTTATAGAAAAGCTTAGAAAAATATGCCATGACTTTCTGAATGACCTAATAGATTTTCCCAGCATGAATACTCTATATAATAGACCAAGATACGAAAAACTAATCAATCCAATTAAAAGATGGGAAAATGAGCTGAACACACAACTCTCCATAGTCATTTTCTTAAAATGTTCATAGTACTTGGGACCAGCAGTTAGCGTAATGGCTATGTCGCTGGACTCCCGTGTAGTCGACCGTGGTTCGAGTCCCGGACCTGGTGGCTTAAACTCATGCTGGGCGTGTGTGCGTGCGTGCCCAAGATCCCAAGAGGAGAATGGAAGAGAAGGGATTGCACCATGGCCATCCCCCTCTGGGGAGTGATTTCCCGCTTTCTATCTGTCTTTCTGGTGAGTGCACGTGCCCTGTAGCAAAAAAAAAAAAAATGTTCATAGTACTTGAAAAAAATGTGTATTTCCCTATTTGAAAGGTGGGAGTTGCTAAAGAAACATATTGAGGTATGTTAATTCTGTTCAAATGGTCTATAACTTTGTTAGTTTTTTGATTCCTTGTAAAAGTCCATATTCATTAAAGGAATGTTGAAATCTAATTATGGATTTGTTCATTTCTCTTTTTAATTCTGTAAAA